AGGGAAAGACAAATAAGATATCACTGGAAAGTCTGACCATGTGCAGTATTAGGATATGGATCCACAGGTTCTCCAGTACATTGCTGTTGGTTGTATAAATTGGTGAATGTGTTATCACTTCGGAAAATTCCTGAAGTTGAATATCTGTGTACCCTGTGATCTAGCAATTCTGCTCCTAGATATAGGTAAACTATATATTTTTAACTAGAAAATGTATGAAGTATCCATAATATCACTGCTTACAATAGCAGAAACATTGATCTGTCCAAACGCTCATCTTGAAGGACAGTGGGTGACTTAACCAATACTGTCAGACAATGGAATATTATACAGCAGTTTAAATGAAGAAAGTACACTTCATAAAGAAAGCAGTAATATGGAAGAATCTCAGTAATGTAATATTAAGTTTAAAAGTGAGCTGTGAGAGACTACATAGAGCATGATACCTTTTTATAAAGTTGAAATTTATATATGTATTTACATTATCAATAAATGCATGTGTATATGTGTATATACATATACATAATAAACTTTTGAGGAATACATATAGGTATAATGAAACTATATAAAAAGGGAAGGAAGAGAGAAGGAAGGCAGAGGTTGGTAGAGAACCATGTATTTAGATGACCATTCAAGTCAAGGTCTGAGCCTCCGTTTTGTGTGCCAAGTTTGCAGATGCTTACCGTATTATTAAGAATAATTAACTGAATAAAAGCAGGCCATGCATAGACATGAACTAGTGATTGGAGTGTCACAAGCTAAAGATTGTGGTTAATCCAGTTCTGTGTGCCCGTGTTCAAACAAGGTTTAATAAGTGGTTTTTTCTGTCGCTGCTCTCACTCTGATCTTTTTCATGTCTCATGTTTACTATTAACCTTTGACTCATTTTGACTCATTTATTAATGTTGGTCTTACTGACTTTTTCCTTTCGCTTTTCCTTGCCATTCTTCGTACTTCCATCAAATTAGTACTTCTCAACTCAAATCATAATTTATTTCCTGTAGGTCAGTGGTTCTCAGCCAGGAATGATTTTACCCCTCATGGGTCATTTGGCAACGTCTGGAACATTTTTGATTGTCACAGTTGGCAGCGGGGTGCTACTGGCTACTAGTGGGTTGAGGCCATGGATGCTGCTAAATACCCTACAGTGCACAGGACAGTCCCCGACAACAAAGGATTGTCTGGTCCAATATGTCACTAATGTTGAGCTTGAGAAACTCTGCCATAGGTTTACCATGGTGAACCTCAGACATTCAGTATCTTAGATCCCGTCTATCATTCTCTGTGTTCTTTGAGGGGACGTTGGGTTGAATAGAGGAAAGAAACTAAAATTTTCTTTATCATTATTTTTAATATTATTTGGTTGAACTGAGCCCCAGACTAAAAATTGGCTAAACTAAGGAGTGCATTTGTCTGGGATCTTCCAAGTTGGTTTTCTTTACTTTGATTTTTGATGCCAAACAGTGATGGAGACACCCCTGTTCCCTTTATTGGTACGTAATTTTGTGCATTTGTTAAACTGAACTAGAAACAAAGAACAGCAGAACAACAAATGAATATTCCTGTCTATTAAGGGAAACATTTGGTTTTCAAGGTTAATATTAGGCCACATAACGATTATTTCAGAGTAGCCCGGGAAATGTAGGGTTAAAAGATGATTTTCCGAAAAAAGGTTAAAATCAGGATGTACAGATACAAAAAGGAGAAGGTACTAAAGATTTTATTTAAGTTGTGAGGGAGCCAATCCTATATTACAAGACACATCATAGATCAGGAATATTGAAACAAATGTGCAAACTGTCTTTTCCACAGGGGAGGAGGGAAGTCCGTCGAGCCTTCACCAGACAGAATTGCCTATAGACAAGAATTATTTTGCAGTGCAGTATTTAACAGTTATTTACAGCTTAACAGGGGTGTAAAATATCTTCCACAGAATCAGACACCAGAGGGTTATCCTTTAGACAGTGCACTGTTTTCCACTGAAGCACAATTTTTTTCCTTCAGTGTGTAGAATTCATGACTTGCTTAAAAGTAGACAGAGGGAGAAGGGAGTTCAGAGCGTAAGATTTTTAGCTTATTGTGGCCCTCACTCAGTCTCTGTCACACTGGTGCTCTGAGTACCGGTGTTTGGTGTAGTAAATTTCAGGTCCTTGTTGTTGGTCTGTTAGCTGTCTCACCGCTCTTTCCATTTGTTTTAGCTCACTGGAAGCAGTTTCATCCATAGTTTTGTAGTAAACATGCCAAATCTTCTGTAAGATCTTTACTAATATCCTTGGAACTGGCTTTCCTTTCCATGGCTTTGTATTTCCATGTGTAGTGATTCTCAAAGCACTTGACCCAACAGCAACTTTTCATTATCACCTGGGAACTTGTTAGAATTGCAAATCCTTGGGCCCTGGTTTAGACCTACTTACTGACTCAAAACTCTGGGCATGGGACCCAGCAAACTGTGTTTTAACAAGTCTCTAGGTAATTCTGAAGGGTGCTAGAGTTTAAGAACCAGTGCCATGGTGAATTATACTTTTTTTTTTTTTTTTTGGTACGCGGGCCTCTCAAAGTTGTGGCCTCTCCCATTGCGGAGCACAGGCTCCAGACGCCCAGGCTCAGCGGCCATGGCTCACGGGTCCAGCCGCTCCGCCGCATGTGGGATCTTCCCGGACTTGGGCACGAACCCGTGTCCCCTGCATCCGCAGGTGGACTCTCAACCACTGCGCCACCAGGGAACCCCTGAATTGTACTTTTTTAAAAGCTATTTTGCTCGGTACTGTATTGTTTTATGTAAATCTCAATCCTTTTTCTCTAAGCCTCTTGCTAAGAACCCGTATTTCATTAATATGTGTTCACTGATACATAGTGGATACTCAATATATTTTTACTAATTTGAAATTCCCTTATTAAGTGCTCCTTATCAAAAAACTAGGAAACAACATTTATTCATCATTTGTTTCTTTGTGGAAATTGAACTGATTGTCCAAATAAAAAATAGTAAATGAGCAAAAGCTACAGCTATATTCACTTGTGTGTATACTTCCCTTATACCGCCCTTCTTCCGTAGAACATGCCTTGACCTTGGTTTGAAAGTTAACAATGAATTGATGTTTGTTTTTCACTATGGCCAAAATTCGATGTAGGGGTTAAGAGCACAAGACTACAGAATCAGAATCCTGGGTTCGCATCTCAACTACCTCTCTAGATGTGTGATTTTCACTTTCCTTGTTTATGAAATAGGGAATCCTATCTCATAGAATTGCTTCAAGAACTAAGAGATAATGAGTGTAAATATTTGGTAAAGGCAGAGGGGTCATTTTGGACCTGTCTGCTGGAATTTCTTAATGCCGTTTCACTTGTATTTCTTAATAGGAAATACAGGGGAACATGGCAGGCATAGTGGTAAAGCTGTTTTAGTTTTTTTCTTTTGTGTTTTGCTGGGTATTCAAACTGTGCTATTCCACTGAATGGTTTGAGAGTTTGATACAGATTGCTATATTTGTACATATAAATCGGTATACATACACAGACATATTACATATACACTCCAGTTTATTGTTATTTGTTTTCAATTTCTTTAAAAAAGAATTTCATATACTTAACACCATTGTCTAAATATGTTTTTACAAAAGAAGATGTTTAAAGGCAAAAACTGTCTTGATTTTTATTTTACATCAGAATCAGAAATGGTTAATATCTCAAAGTGATAATGCGAATTGTTTCTAACAGCTGAGAAACAAGAGTGGTGTGCTATTATAAAAGACAGATATATATATATATATATATATTTTTTTTTTAATATTTATTTATTTAATTTATTTGGTTGAGCCAGGTCCTAGTTGCAGCTTCAGGGCTCCTTAGTTATGGCTCCAGGGCTCCTTAGTTGTGGCATGGAAACTCTTAGCCGCGGCATGCATGTGGGATTTAGTTCCCTGACCAGGGATGGAACCTGGGGCCCCTGCACTGGGAGCACAGTTTTATCCACAGCGCCACCAGGGAAATCCCAAGGACAGATATTTTTGAGTGCGTGAAATCTAGTTGTTCTTTTGTTGTTTTGCAATGCCTATTTTTATTGATAGTGAGACGAGTGTGTCCTATAGAATTGTTATAAATGTTGACACCGTTCTAGAATACAGTGTGTTTGATATCTGGTTTATAGAGTTGGTTTCTTCTTCATTACTTTGAGATCTGAGAGATTTGTGAATGTCTGCAAGTTAAAGTCATCTTCTTATGAATTACTCTAGCAGTCCCTACAGAAGTTGACAGCTACCATAGCCTGTTCCCTCTAGAACCACTGCCACCACCCAACCGGATACAGAAATCAAGTAATTTTGGATACATTACGTCCTGCTACAAAGCTGTAAATAGCAAAGATGATCTGCCTTATTGCCTTCGGAGGATACATGGTAAGGAAGATCAATTATCCTCTTTTAGTAGCATATTAGTGAGGCTAAGATTATTCAGAGATTCCTAAATGAGTTTATTTAACATGAATTTAAAGGATAATACATATATTATTTCATTTGGAAATTAGTATTTCATAAGTGATGTATAACATGGCTTTTTCTGCACGTTTCTTTTTTTTATTTAATTATTTAATTTATTTATTTTTGGCTGCGTTGGGTCTTTGTTGCTGCGTGCAGGCTTTCCCTGGTCGTGGCGAGCGGGGGCTACTCTTTGTTGCGGTGTGTGGTCTTCTCATTGCGGTGGCTTCTCTTGTTGCGGAGCACGGGCTCTAGGCGCGGGCTTCAGTAGTTGTGGCTTGCGGGCTCTAGAGCTCAGGCTCAGTAGTTGTGGCATACGGCCTTGGTTGCTCCGTGGCATGTGGGATCTTCCCGGACCAGGGCTCGAACCCATGTCCCCTGCACTGGCAGGTGGATTCTTAACCACTGCGCCACCAGGGAAGCCCTCTGCACATTTCTGATGAAATAAGGGGGAGATGTCATTTACAGGTTAGCAGAAAATTTTTTCTTTTTCAGGTTTTCGTCTTGTTAACACAAAGTGCATGGTATTGGTGGACATGTGGAAGAAAATCCAGCACTCAAATATCGTGACCTTGCGTGAAGTGTTTACCACTAAAGCTTTTGCAGAGCCTTGTGAGTGACTTGTAATCGTCTTTTTGCTAGTGGGCTTCATTATTTGAAGCCAGATTGCAGTAATGAGCGTTTGTGTTTTATTTTAAGCTCTTGTGTTTGCATATGATTTCCACGCTGGAGGAGAGACTATGATGAGCAGACACTTCAATGACCCTAATGCGGATGCCTATTTCACAAAGAGAAAGTGGGGTAAGAAAAAGATTCAAGCAAGCTGTGTTTGACAGATGCCTTTGCTCTGTGGAATAGTAGTTTTGTATTTTAAAACACATGTAAATTTAGCCCTGTAATCATTCAGCGTAAAGACCCTATTACATTTAAAAAAGAAATACCTTAAAGAAATGGAGTCAATATGTAACAAGTTAGGAAATAACAATGTTATGTACATGTATAGACTGAGATGAAGGTGGGTTATGAAAGACTCATGTAAATACCTGAAACTTTAAGTAGCTGAGAATACGGTAAACGATTTATTTTCTTTAAAAAAGATAATGCTTTCTGGGGCTTCCCTGGTGGCGCAGTGGTTGAGAGTCCGCCTGCCGATGCAGGGGACATGGATTCGTGCCCCGGTCCGGGAGGGTCCCACATGCCGCGGAGTGGCTGGGCCCGTGAGCCATGGCCGCTGAGCCTGCGTATCCGGAGCCTGTGCTCCGCAACAGGAGAGGCCACAACAGGGAGAGGCCCGCATATGGCAAAAAAAAAAAAAATAATAATAATTATAATATAATGCTTTCTGAATAAAGATGGTTTGGAAAATTCAGTAAATTGAAAAGTAACCCCTGTAACTTCACCACCCAAAGCACATCTCTTGGTATATTTCTTTCCAGTCTTGTTTTTTTGTTGTGTTTTGTTTTGTTTTGCATACTCCAGTGTGACTGTGTGTCATTTATCAATATGTAATTATTTCCCTAAACAAATGCTTTTGCTTGAAGGTGGGATTCTGTGTTCCTTAAGGAGCTAGTCTTCAAAATAAATTTTCAGGTAACTTTTACTTAAATAGGGAATATTTTCTTTTTTTGCCCCTTTCTAATATTTACTTAAAGAATTGTTTTTTAATTCAAATATTGCAAAGAACCAAAATATTTTAATTACATCCTAACAAATGATTATTAAAGGGTAAGTTGTTTCAGAGTAAAAATAAATCCATTTTGTGGTGTCTATTAATTAGTTTATGTTTTGGGGGAAGGAAAAATGTATGTATCATTTTCTTGTATGGGGGCAGGAAAGAAACATTACATTCTTTGCAGTGGTTTTTAATTTGTTAAAGCTTTTCCTGAATATATCCTGAGAGGAAGTAAGGAGGGAGAAGACTTGAGTCCACATTCCAGTATCTTTTGGATCATGACTCCTTTAAGAACTGGCATTATGGATAAAAAATGTATTCTGTTTACTTGTAACTGTGCTTTCTGACAGTTGAAAGAAGAAAGCTGTGGTTACGTGGCTGTTTCACATTAAAAATCTGGCCACATAGTGTGGTCATTTGTTTCCTTTTGCCATGTCATCTGTAGCACATACATAATTTTGTTGAAGGGGATGTGGTATAACTTTTCCTACAGATGAATATAGCTGTAGTTGTTCAAGTTTATTTTAGTAATAACACCTGTGAAGTGACTGTTGGCTTTAATTTACAGCTGGGTTTCTCAGCCTCGGCACTGCTGACATTTGGGGCTGGATAATTATTTGTGTGGGGCCCTTCTGGGCATCGCTGGGTGTTCAGCTGCATCCCCGTCATCTATCCACTAGATGCCAGGAGCAGCCCCTCCTCCAGTTGTGACACCAAAAATATCTCTAGGTACCTCCAAATGTCCCTGAGGGGGCAACACGGACCCCTGTTGAGAACCACTGATTTATAGCACTCCTTTCCAGTTTTTTTTTTTTTTTTTTAATCTTAATTCTGTTTTTGGTGTTGTCTGACTATTTGATATATTATGTTTACATTTTCCTAGGAATCAGTTCTTTTTCTAGTATTGTTTGAATGGTAGTAACTTCCCTAAATGTACCATATATACTTTAATTTACAACAATTTATATAATACAAGGCAATCCTGTTTTCCCAATATGAATATTAAAAAAAGAAGGAAAAAAGTATAAACTTATAGAGACATAAATGGAAGTATAATGCTTTCTTATACTATTTAATTTGTTAATTTAAAACAAACTAAAAAAATCGCATATTGTAATAAATATACTAATAAGAAAGTGGCAATAATAATAGCGTACCATATAGGGACTGTGATAAGAGGTTTAAAATGACATAATGTGGGTAAAGTAACTAGACAGAATCTGGCACACAGTATGCACTAAATATTTGCTATGAATATGTAGCTATAAATATTTGCTATAAATATTTCTTTTCCTTATTACCACACTTATTAAATAGTTTTATTTAAACTCTTTGTGGTTGTCTTTGATGTTGTCTTGACATTTATCACTAGAGCTACTTTTTGAGTCATCTATCACTGTTTTCCAGATGGTATTATCTTTAGTTCTGTCTAAATTGAGGGATAGCAGTTTTTGAATTTTGTATTTGCTCTTCCTTATTTGCTATTTATTATCTCCACAATTAACCATTTAACTGTGTTGCTTTTATAACTGATTCAGAAAAGGTTTGTTTACAACCATGTGAACACTTGGATTTATAAAGTCATATTCCCTGAAATAATTACAAAATCTAGATTAAATTTATACGGCTTCTTTTCTGCTGATTAACAGTGACCCAGAAAGTAGTATCAAGAAGCACTTAACAAGAGTTGATAGAATCAAAAGGATTACTTTTCATGGTAGACCAGATTATTTTTGTGTTTCTTCATTACACATAAGTGACCTTCAGTGTTTTACATTTATGTTTTCTGAGAATTGGATGTCATTTCATCTAACTGACTTGGCTGTAATAGGGGAGGCTGAGCAGTATGAGGAGAATAAGAAAACACTCAACATAAATGATGGTAGAGACTTTTATTTCCCTCAAGCCACAGGTGTGTAGTTCCCACACACCTGAACGGTAATATAGGCAAGGGTTAGCCACACTTTAAGAAAAATAATCTCTGCAGTTCCTGTTTTTAATCTGAGCTCATTTATTGGGCTCACAATTAAGTATAAATTCTTACTTTAAATAATTTCTGTGCAATAACTATAATGGTCACAGAAAAGAGAAGCTCAGTGAGAGCTCTGCTGCTAACAGTATAAAGGTATAATATCATAAATAAGAAAATTTGGGCTTGTTTCTTAAATTCTTCTTGGTTTGCATGTTTTAGTCTTTTAGTTAATTATTTAAATGAAGATGCCATTTTTAATTTGCTTTTATAGGTCAACACGATGGACCATTGCCCAGACAGCATGCTGGATTATTGCCAGAATCTCTTATTTGGGCATATATCGTCCAACTGAGTTCTGCATTGCGTACCATTCATACAGCAGGTTTGGCATGTCGAGTTATGGACCCAACAAAGATTCTGATAACTGGCAAAACAAGGTACTAGCATTTTGAGTTTTGGCTTCTTTATTGAGCATCTAACCTATGACAGCTTAGTAAACATAGCATGATGATTTGTTTTAATTCTACCTTTTCATATATTCCATCCAGAAGAACTGCCGTGACTTTGAGTTCATTTGTAAGTTTTTTTAAAATGTTGAATTCTTAATAAGATGCCTGGTTATTAACCAAGATCCTGTGAGGGTTTGGGAGGTATGTATGGTTAAGGTTGGGGGGATATCAAACAGTATCAGTACAACTTTTCTGTGTACAACTGTGGTTCTCAAATTTTGTCACGAGTCCCAGTATCCTGGAGGGCTTAGCATAGGCTGTTGGGCTCCACCCGCAGTGTTCTCATTCAGGAAGTCTGGGGTGGGGCCTTAGAATTTGCAGTTCTAACCAGTGCCTTGGGTGACTGATGCTGTTGCTGTTGATTGGGTTTCATGCTTTGAGAACCAGTGATAAAGGGTTAAGTAACACAGACCTTGACTTCACTAGAGTTTTATCTGAGTTGCTGAAATTTTGAGAGTTGTCTCGGGTAGCATCGCATAAAGAGTTCAAGGTCTAGTACCAGGTTACCTGGGTTCATATCCTGGCTCTGTTAGTTACTTAATTAACATCTATGTGTTCAACAGTCTGTGAGACAGGTACTATTATTATCTCCATTTTCCATATTTGTAAGGTACCTGCCTCATAAGATTATTGAGAGGATCAGATGAATTACTACATATAAAATGCTTTGAATGTGCCTAGTACATGTTAAGAAGCTAACTAGTTCTCTTTTCATGGATAACTAAGAAAGAAGCAGCTCGGTTTGGTGAAAAGACCGCTGGCCTGGTAGTCAAAAGATGTGTTATAGTCCTGGGTTTATCCATTCCTGACTTTTATAACCATAGGCCTATCACTTGATGTCTGTGATGTCATCTCTAAAATGGTGATTGATAGAGGTTATAGGGGGGTAGGACAGGAGGTAAGACTGGATAGCATTCTGAGATCCCTCCTAATATCATAAGAAATGTTCAATTTCCAGTAGTATGTAATTTTTTAAAAATCTAATTTTAATTATTTTCTTTAAATTTTCTGGTCTTTAAAGGTTGCGAGTAAATTGTGTTGGCGTTTTTGATGTTTTAACATTTGATAACAGTCAGAATAATAATCCATTGGCATTAATGGCTCAATACCAGGTGAGTAAGAATTAACATGGATACTTAATAACTTAAGGCTTGAATTTTTTTTTAAGATAAATTTTGTTTATTTTAAAGTTTTTCAGGGTTTTAAGTCTAGATTTCAGTTTATGCTGGGGGTGGTCTCTGTGCAAACTTTGAACGTGTATTTTCTTAATCACTGTGCTGTGTTTAGTGTAGAGCCCTTATACGTTGGAATATACAGAATTAATGACAGTGTCAGAGACTCCAGCTGTTTGAATGAAAATGCATTTATTTGACAGGGAAATTTGTCCTCAGCATAGATTAAAACATTAATTAGTCAGCTGAATGAAATATATTAAATGACATTTTACTTTTTTTTCCACTTTTTAGTGTGTTAAAATCACACCTGTTATTTTTACTTTTAGAATAGTTAATCCCACTATCAATCCAAAATTTTTATTTTCAAAGGAAAATTTTTGTATTGCTGTTTTCTAAATGATTTTTTTCTTTTGCTTAACCAAAGCCTATCACTCACTTCTTGTACATTATTAGAATTTGGTTATAGTCTGACTTCATCATAATATTGTGGACTTAGGTCCCATTTTGTTCTTAGCTATTTAGTTTTTATTTCTTGATTAACACAATGTGTAGCAGAGTAAGAACCTAACCTCTGCAAGGAGCGTTAAGTGTAGTTGCTTTTGCTTTGATTACCCCGTGCAAGTAATGTAGCTATTTAAAGTAAATATTTCGTATCATTCAGTTTGTATTCATATTTTTTGGAGGGTATGCAGTTGTCATTTTAAGACAATGTTAGTTTCTTTCATGTAAGAAATCTTTATTGTTTCTGAACATTTATTAACTTACAGAGGTTTGATGTAAGACAGAATCTCTTGTTTACATGGAGAAACGAGGAGAATGCCTTACCTTCCCACTGTCCTTCTCATTTCATTCTCTTTTCTTTAAATCTTTGAAAGATTTTAGTTCACTTTATGAGACAAAATTTCAGAACAAAAGGAAAGGCCAGAAGAAGTGGAGGCCAGGTAGTTTTTAGTATTACAGTTGATTCATGCATAAACCTCTTCCTTTGCTACTGGACCGTGGACAGTGCAGTCCCCAGACTTAGAGCCACTCATCACATTCAGTTGTATGCAGCCTTTTCCCAGCTTCTTCCCCTCTGCTGGTGCCCACCTACCCCCAGCAGCAGCCAAGCTGTTCTGGTTGGTAGCGCCATCTAGTGGGAGCTCCATGGAAGAACCTGGCTACCCACCCCACCAGCCCCCCACCCTAGCAGCTTTCTTCTGCAGAAGGGAATTTGCTCCCTCTTTCTTATCCAGGTTGGTTGTTTCTTAGCTGTTTTCCTGCTTATCTTCTGTCTTATACTTAGTGCCTAACTAATTGGCTCTGAAAATTTTTCTTCATAATCTTTGTGCTCCTGAAAGTGACTGGTTATTGACTGTTAAAATACTAGTGATCTTTATATATCCAGGAAAATAATATTAAACTTTTAAAGAGAAATCAGACATTATTTAGAACCAGTGCCATCAACCTGTATTGCAAGTATTTGGAAACCCCATGTTTCCAGTTTTGTTTTTTATGTGCAGTCTCACGGTATCTCTTCATTCTTTTCTATTCTGAATAGTTCCTTTTTCTTTTTAATTACTCGTATAAGGTTAGTTTGATTTTGTTTTTCTGTGAGTATCACATCAGTGTTGTTTTCCATTTTTTATTTGCAAATGTCCGTTATTGGAGTTATATTATGGGTTGTGTAGTTAGTTACCTTGAAAAACAACTCTTCATAAGAAAAAATAATCCCAGAGTTTCAGAACAAATCACTTTAAAGTAAGGATTTGGGGCAACTGATTGGTAAGTTAGGAACTGCCTTCATTCATAAACTTAGGCTACTTTCAACCAGTTGTCACCCTCCCTTTATTTTTCAGCGGTAAAAGTTGTATCAGGTTTTCTTTTCTTTCCTTTTTTTTTTTTTGGAGTAGGTATATATGTGTAGATTTTCCATATAGCTTATAGTAAGGTAAAGGAGAGAATTAAAGGTAGTCCCAAACGGGGGATTGTGATTTTACAGAGAAGAGGGTACATGAGAAAGGAGTGCATTGTTTCTTGTAGTCTATTTTTCATAGTCTGTTTCAGACACGTGAATAGAGACTGACTTTCAGTAAAATGGACATAAATAGAGCCATAGATAGAATCAGAGAAAAATCAAGAAGTCAAGAATCAGGAAGAAACTGAAAATGAGTTGGGGGGAAAACCTCCAGAATTCAACAAATGGGGGGCAAAGCCAGATGGAGGTGAGAAGCAAAATAACAAATGGAAAATTATTTAGTTGGGAAATAAGGAAAGGAGAGTTACTGAGTTTTTACGATGTTAAACTCTCTTAATTAAGCAGGACTTCATTAACCTCTTTTATTTATAAAGATCAGTTCTCATTTAGTCTGGATTATGTGACATGTATACTCTATTTCTAAAAGTGGGTATTCTCACCTTCAGTCAGCTTCAGAAAGGTGGCGTTTACACTCAGAATCAGATGGCCTTATTTTTCATACTCATAACAGTGCTTGAGCTGTCTTGCACTTTGGTTTTCCTGTCTCATAATAGGGAATAACAGAATGTTCTAGGTGGGAGGCTTAGTTACAGCATCAATTCAGGGTGGAGCTAAACTGAAGATGTTACTGTTTAAGGGTTGGGAAGCTGTGTGTTGTTACATGCTGCTGAAATACTTAAGAAACAATAACAAGCTTAACTTTGCTGATGACATTGGATTGAAACACTTGTAGAGATTTACAGTTAGCTTTTACATGTACTGATTTCTCTCGATCAGCATTTTTAGGATTTCATTAATATAACTGTGAATGTTTTCCTTGATCTTGAGAATGACCATGAGGAACCCTTCCTGAATTCAGTCACGGCAGAGCCATCTGGAGAACAGAAACGCCACAGTATTCGCGCCCCTCCCCTTGTCACCTTCCCCCCTGCCAGCCTGGGCCCCTAACTCTGCCACTAATGAAGTTTCAAAGTTTCTCTGGCATGAATCCTTGGCATCTCTTTTCCTGATAGATTCAAAGTTGTTTGTCTAATCAGTTTTTCCGCTGATTATAGGATCTTAGGCTCAGAGTGTCAGATTCATACGTGCTAATTTGGATAAAATTTTAAATTGGAACTTTTTAATGTTATCTTAATAATGGAGTTTGTTTTCCTTTTATTCTTTACTATTTGGGTAGAATGTTGTTAAGGATAACTGTATAGTCCTAAAGTTTCATTAGTGATTGCCTTGAAATACTCACCTGATTTTGCAAATACACCATTTATAAACTTCCACGAAACCAGTGGTTCTCAACCCTGGCTGCATATCTGAATCTCTTATGAAGGTTTGAAAAATACCAATACGTATATCTTGCCCCAGACTAATAACACCAGAAGAGGATGAAGGGATAGCCAGCCACTGGGTGATTTTTTTGTTTGTTTTTTGAGCTTCTCAGGTGAATTTTAATGTAAAACTAGGTTTGAAAACTCCTATACTAAACCAATATTCCATAAATAAACATGTATCCAATAATTCAGATGAGATCTCAGATTGTGAAGATTTATGTAAGTTTTCTGTAAAAATAACTTCAAATGATTTCATTGAACTCTGAACTACTCCATTGTCTCCTAGGCATGTGATCATTAATAGTTCACCTGCCAAGCAGGGCCACCTGGGGTGACCGTTCTGTTTCCTGGCGTTTTAATAGGTGGTAGAGAGCTTGCCTCAATTCAGCCAGCTGTCTTTTAAAAAATTCTTTTTGAAGGAAAACCTCAGAGTGGGAAATCTTTAAAAAAAAAAAAAAAAGGGTAGGAAATCAGGTGGTTACAGAGCTCAAAGATCTTTTATCATATAAAAACGGTCTATTTGGAAACAACGGCAGATGGAATGTCATGGGGGTTTGCAACATTGTCAGTGTCTAGGGAACCTACTCTGAAATCAGGTAATGCTGCTGCTGTGTTTGGAATAAGGGAATTACTTTTCTTCAAATGAACTCTCACTATATTTTGTGCATCATGGAAAATGAGAAAAGTGCCTATCGTGAATTGTAATGATCACTGTAAAGCAACTAACTATATGGTGACCAACCTCAGATTTCTTGTAATAGTAAGGATATCAGCTCTATTTAAATATAAAAATTTAGAAAAAAAATTAAAAGCAGCAGTTCTGCAGTTGGCATGTGAATTGCTTCAGGTAATGTTTCTTAAAGTATTCCCCAGAACTACCTTCATTAGAATTACCTGGGTGCTTTAAAAATGTTGGGCCTGTTCCCATACCTCCTGAATGAGAATCTGGGGTGGAGCAGCTCAGAAATGGTCTTGCTAATAAGCTCCCAGGTGACTGATAAGCGCCAATACCTGGGAACCTTGTGCTGAGTTCTTCAGCTTCTTTGTAAAGATGCTTTTTCCATGCAGGCAGTAGTGTCAGTGTATTAAATTTGTACCTATAAAAGAAAAATTAAAAGTTATATTTATTCTTTCATGTAACATTTGATAACAGTCAGAATAATAATCCATTGGCATTAATGGCTCAATACCAGCAAGCAGATCTGATATCATTAGGAAAAGTTGTGTTGGCTTTGGCTTGCAACTCTTTGGCAGGAATTCAGCGAGAGAATTTACAGAAAGCCATGGAACTGGTGACAATCAACTACTCCTCTGATCTGAAGAATCTGATTTTGTAAGTTTTAATATAATGATCATATGAGATAAGACAGATTTTTCATGAGGGCCTTTTAACAGTGATTCTGTTTATTTTAGTTTCCACTATTTAAAATCAGGCAAAACATAATTAAACAACTTTTAATTTCTTTGTTTTTATTGCTAAGTATGTATTTCTTGGAGTAAATTCATAAACCAGTGTGTTTAAATTAGTTATTGATGTTGTAAACATTTGGTGAAAGGCTAGACCCTCTAAAGCTGCATTGGTATCTATGAGCTACATATGACCTTTTAAGTTTAAGTGAATTAAAATTAAATAAAATTTAAAATTCAGTTCCTCAGTTGCACCAGCCACATTTCAAGAGCTCGGAAGCCGCATGTAGCTTCTGGCTAATATACTGGACAGCGTGGACGTGGAACATACGCATCATCTCAGAAAGTCCTATTAGTGCTGCTCTCCAGAGAGATCAGTGTCTTTGTAAAAGCTGTCATAAATAACCTCACCTGCAGCCCGGTCATGTGCTGTGTGGCCCAGACACCTGTTCCAGAAGGCACATGTGTAAGGGCCCCTATGCTTCTTTCTCCTCCTGTGTCTTCATACTCCAGGGAATCCTTGAGCATAGGTCTGAAATGATTTTGGCTTAAGAGAAGCCCACTGTGGACTGCAGTCACAAAGTCTAAGATGGGTCTAACATCGGGGATTCCAGGGGATGGACAACCAGAACCCTTATTATAAGTTATTCAAGAGAACAGATGCTAGGAAGTCTCTTTTGAAATTTGTTTCTATGATGTTCTAGAAGCAATTAGAGCTTATTGATCCTTTTCAGTCTCTTTTAGCTTCCAGCTGTTCCTTCTGATCTTTCTGTGTAACCCTGGATGATCCAGTTTCTTTTTGGACTAGCCCTGTGGTATGAAATTGAGGGATGGAGGATGGGGCTGCCCACCTGTGCTTTGTTACACTGGCATAAGTGTCCTGCTGGTGACAGAGCACTGGAAGCCAGTGGTTACCTGGTTCCTTTTAATAATCAAATAAGTTGATTTCTCTTTTAAATAAAAATATTTGTTTCATATATTATCACAGCAGTGATTTCTAGCTGTAGCTTACAATACCTAGGATGTCTTAAATAATCTCAAGTTATAATTTTCCTTTCTTAAAAAAGTGAGAGTAAAGGATATAAATATAATAAATTGGCTGTAAGTTAATAATGATTGAAACTGGGTAATGGGTACATGAGGATTCATCATATAATTCTCTTTCCTTCTACAAATGTTACGGAATGTTCCTTAATAAAAAATGAATAAACAAAAAGGTCATACTTTCATACTAACCAATAACTAAAATATACAGAGTAGTAAACTGTGTATCATGCACTTTTGAACTGATTGATACGAATTAATTCACCTAATTCTCCCAATAACCCTATAAATTAGGTACCATTATTAGCTCCATTTTAGAGATGTCAGACTGAGGCTTGAAGATGTAAAGTAACTTGTCAAAAGTCACATAGCTTATACATAGTTAGTATACATATACTATACGTAGTTAGATACAGATATGTCAGTAATTACAGATGAATAGCTAAGACATAGATGATCCACATGAGTTTATAACTGTTGCTTTATTCAACAAAAGAATGCCTACCATATGTCAGATGCTGAAGACACTTGTGAATAAGATGAACAAAATTCCCCGTCTTTTGGAGCTTCCACCCATTATAATGGGGAAGACTTAATAAACATATAAACAAGTAAGATGTTTGCAGATAGTGATAAGTTCTATGGAGAAAATAAGGTCGAATTATAAGCAGAGAGTGAAAGATTAGGAGGCTGCTTTGATGAGAATGGTTAGGACATGGCTTACCTATCAGAATAAGTAGTAACAGATGATTGATAATCATTGTATTCTGACAGGTGGCCTTTTGAAACGTGTAATATTTTTCTGCCTTAGTTATAATGATAGAAGAAATTGATTTGGTCTTTTCTGATGTGTGTTAGTGCATGAAGATTTCTCAGAAATAAATATACCATGACAGGTGGTAAATGAGGTCACAGAGCGGGAGACAGCTTCCTAAAAAGCTGAGGCTTGTTTAACTTATCAAAATGGAAGACCTAGTTTTAGTTTCAAAAACTATTTTTGAAGAGCAATGGAAAAATTTCCCCACCTACAATCACCCCCATTTCACCCCTCCAAAAATATTTGTAACAATCTTTTCATCTCCCACTGTTGTAAAGAAGGGTTTGAGAATGGAAATATGGTAAGTCTAACTCTACCCAGCTTTCCTTTCTCATTTTCATAATAGTAAAACATTTAGAGAAAGAGACATTTTTACAGTTTTTTCCATTGGCTCTTAAAGTTTTCCAGAGAAAAGAAATATAATTACTAAGCTTTAAAAATGAACTCGACTTGCATGAAAAAATTTTTTTCGAAGTTGTGCACACTAACATGCTGGCGGCAGCAGTGCCCGTGTGCTTGGGGGTTGTGTTGTTTTGTGAATTGCGTGGTTGGCATTCAAGTGATCCTTCTCTATTTTGGTTAGATATTTGTTGACTGACCAAAACAGGATGCGAAGTGTAAATGACATCATGCCCATGATTGGTGCTCGATTTTATACTCAATTGGATGCTGCTCAAATGAGAAATGATGTCATAGAGGAAGACCTTGCAAAGGTAAAGTGTGTAGTTAAAGGAGTGTGCACACACCTGCATCTGTGTGTATCAATAGATATAAAACAGAGTAATTACTGTGCTGAATATAGTACACAGCTGGCTAAGATTGTTGGCAGATATTTTTGTCCAAACTTAGTGTTCCGTATTTTGATTTCTTAGGTCCTCTGGGCATTTGTTTTGTTCTTTTTGTTTGCGGCTTTGCTACAGTCATGAGACATAATCTTGATTTTTTCTTTTTAACGTGAATTACTTTAATAATTCTTAAAAATGGACAGCTGTAGGGGGCAAGGAATAAATCACAAGCTTGTGATTACCATACACACACTACTATATATATATAAGGTAGATAACCAACAGGGACCTACTGTATAGCACAGGGAACCCTGCTCCATATTCTGTGATAACCTGTATGAGAAAATAATCTGAAAAAGAGTGAATATATGTGTATGTATAACTGAATCACTTTGCTGTGCACCTGAAACTATCACAACATTGTAAATCAATTATCCAATAAAATTTTTAAAGAAGAAAGAAAAACATGGACAGCTGCATAATCTTCTTGAGTATTACTATTGAATGAAATGGACATGTTGTATTCAAAAGTATAACCAGAAGGTGGGGATATTAAGATTTATTGTTTAAAGGTAATATTGGTACAGGATACCAGTTTTGTAAACTTTTGCTTTTATGTTCAGTTAGCTGGAACATTAATATTCTCTCTCTTTTTAAAATGTTTTATAGGAGGTTCAAAATGGAAGACTGTTTAGGCTTCTAGCAAAATTGGGAACAATCAATGAGAGGCCGGAGTAAGGATTTACAGTATTTTACAATGTGTTTTCAATCAAGGGCACTATTTTGCGTAACAAGAATGAGTATACCTTATTCTTACTGGTTTTATTTGGAAAAAGAAAAATTCTCATGTAAAGTGACCTTAAGCCTATTGTTAGCCATTAGGGTGTGGTTTTTTTAACCAAAGCATACGTTGTGGTTGTCCTTAGGGATTTCACACACACACGCGCGAACAGAAAATACACTGTGTTAGAAATCTCTGTTGTGGTTTGCGTACGAGGGTGCATTTTCTGCCTGTCAGTACTGCCTCTTCCCTGTCTCCTTTCTGAAGCCTGTTCAGTTCAGGTTACCTTGGCCAGATTAGATACTTCAGATGTTTCTAGCCGTTCTTCTGCTAAAGTGCATTATTTATAGCTGTCGTATCAGTGACATTGGAATGGCATCACCATCTTACATTATTTGTTGTTTAGTTCTGCCTTGTTTGTAAGTTAACCATATGTTCAAGAAAGAAGCAAGTTTGGTGTTTGTGCGTTATGCCTGTCCAAGACAGGTAGAACAGTAGTGCAGCTGTTGTGACTGTAGTATAAGTTACATTTCAGGATTGTTACCTCTTAATAGAGATAGGTGACAGATAAAGATCATCGCTCGGGAGAATGTCTTGACCGCAAAGTCTAAGTCCCCTTAGCTTTCTTCAAAGTTGAAAGACTCAGCGCTTTCCCTGATGACTTTTCTGAATGAAGAGAACATGACTATATGTTGAACCATTTAGAAAAGACTTTTAGCCGCTTCTTTCTGGCATTTATCTCTTTTATTTTAAAAAATATAATGCTCTTCGAGTGCTGTTCCTTGATTTTTCCTTCAGTGTTTAAATTTTTCTTCAATTTGTAGCTCAGCTAATGACTCTGTCCTGTGGAAGATGAGGCTTTCTCTCTCACACCCCCTTCCCTTAACTAAGTACACACATACTGTACCGCTTAACCCATGAATTTTGAGATAAATCTTTATTCGGTGTTGGCATTGTTAGAACAAGGTAAAATATTGTTCGTAGCTGCCTTGCATAGTAAATCATGACTGTATTTCCTTTCTTTTGTATTTTGTTTTTAGATTTTTGTTTTCCTGATGTTAATTATTGTCTTATATAGAAAATTAAACTAGTGAAAAAATATTTACCACCAGTTCATTCCAGACTCTCTGCCAGAGTTCTAAAATACCTTTCCATATGGTCAAAAGTAGGTAACCTGTCAGTTCCCTTTTTTCCCTCCCCTTAGAGAAATTGCACCTGGAGCCTCCGCCCTTTGTTTCTCTCTGGGCTCCTTGGCTTCAGGCCTGCTCACACTCTCACTTTAGAACCTGAGCTTCCCTGTGCTGTTCTCGTCTCTCCCTTTGTGTTGCTTGCCCTGTTTCTTGCTTTTTTCCTTGGTTTATTCTTTTGATTTAATGAAGCACAGCCTTCAGTAGCTTCCTGAGAAAGGTGAGTTTTTTGAGTCTTTGAAAGTCTGAAAATATCTTTATTCTACTTTCATACTTTATTGATAGTATGATTGGGCATATAATTCCAGATTGTCCTCAGAAAATTCTTTTTATTAATTAAATCTTTTGAATAGATTTTATATGAACCAATTTCTTAAAAAGTAGAAAAGGGTTTGCAGTGAAAAATAACAAATCTCTCTTTCATACCTGACACCCCCAGTCTCCCCAGTTCCTCCCACCAGTCTTTTATTAGTCTCTTGTGCATATTTCCCGAGTTACAACTGTATATTCTTATCACTCCTCTCCCCCCACTTCTAAATATCTACAAATTGTAAACCATGTTCAGTGTTCTGTTTGTTGCTCTTTCCTCATAACAATATATTTTGGAAATCTTCCTCTTCAGATGTGTTTAGTGTATGCTCAACACTGTTCTCAATAGTTAACAAATATGACCTAACTTAATCCTCCTAACAGCCCTGTGGTGCTGGGTCCTGTTAGTATTCCCTTTTAACAGAGAAGTTGAGGCATAGAGAGGTTAAAAACCTTGTCCAAGGTCACATATGAGTCAGGATTCGAATCCAGACAGAATGGTGGTCCCAGCGTCCATGCTGTTAACCACTGTGCTGTGCTTCCTCATAATTTATGGCCATGTAATAGTCTGTCCTGTAGATACACTGTAATTTATTTCTCCAGTTCCTTATTGATGGGCATTTGAGTTGTTTTCAGCCTTTTGCTAGTATAAGCAATTCTGCAGGGACTGACTTACACATACTTAATTTAGTGTGTGCACAAATACGAGTTCGACTGTGATCGTTAGGTCAGCACCCGTTGTAATTTGTGACTGTAATGATGGCCCTTAGATGGGTTTACCAGGCACAGTGCATGAGAGTCTTTCACCAACAACACTTCTTTCAAAATTTCAATTTTTGGGGCTTCCCTGGTGGCGCAGTGGTGGAGAGTCCGCCTGCCGATGCAGGGGACGCGGGTTCGTGCCCCGGTCCGGGAAGATCCCACATGCCGCGGAGCGGCTGGGCCCGTGAGCCATGGCCGCTGAGCCTGCACGTCCGGAGCCTGTGCTCCGCAACTGGAGAGGCCACAACAGTGAGAGGCCCGCGTACCGCAAAAAAAAAAAAAAAAAAAAAAAAAAAAATTCGATTTTTGACAACCTGATAGATGAGAAATTAAATCTCAGTGCAGGTGTTTTTGGTATTTACTCATAATGAGCATGTTGCCTCTCTTTTTGATTCATTTATATTTCCTTTTCTGTCTCTCCAGATCCTTTGCCCATTTTTATTTTCAGTTGGATTGTCTGTCATCTTGATGTACAGGAGCCAGAGAGATTTACCCTTTGTGATCATTTTCTTTGAAATTTGTCATTTTTCTTTTGATTCTGCTTAATTTTTTCACATGTAGAGATTTTTATGGTAGTCTAATGGATCAAACTTCTTTTGTACTTTTGGATTTTGAGTCATAGTAAGAAAGTTAGAAGGCATTTCTACTCTAAGATTGTGAAGGGATAATCTTGTAGTTCCTTCTAGAATACTTAAGGTTTCAATTTTTTCCTGTTAAAGTTTTTTATATATTCAGAATTTATATAGGATGTAAGGTACGAATCCAACTCTCCCCACCCCACCCCCCACCCCCAGACAACTACCCAGTGGTCCAGAAGCTGTTTATGGACTAGTCTAGCTTTTTCCACTGGTTTATTAAGGCAGCACCTCTTTCACACTATCATGATGATTGACATTTTAAAATCTAGTAGTGTTAGCTCTTTCTTATCTCCATTTTATTGTTTTCTGTTGTTTTCCTAAAACTTAAATTATCTGTATAAATTCTAGAATCAGCTTGTTTAGTTAAAATTTTTTTAAACCTGATGGTATATTTATTAAGTTTATTAGTAAACTTAAGGAGCATTTGTGTTTTTAGATGTGGAGTTATCTTAACCAAGATAATGACATGTCGTCGTATTGCTGATGTCTGCTTTAGTTCTTCAGTGTTACGTTTTCTTCATGTAGTTATAGCACACTAAGTTTGTTCTTAGGTATTTTTTCTTGTTGCTGTTGTAAATGGGAATTTTCCTCCATTCTGTCTTCTTAGACTCCTTGTTATCATTGTATGTGAAAATGATTGATCTCTATAAATTTTGGACCTTGGTACCTTAGTAAGTTTGGATAGTTTTTCAGTAAATTCTTTTGGGTTTCCCAGGCATATAATTGTGCCTTCACGTAATGACAGTATATTTCCTCCCTTCTAATTTCTATACTTTCGATTTCTCTTGAGTGATTGTGTTAGCTAGTACCTCTAGTACATAGTTAAGTAATAGTAATGATAGTTTTCTTTCAGAATTTGAAGCGTCGCTCCATTGTCTTTTAACTTCCAGACAGACTCAAAGCCATTTTCTTTCCAAATCCTTCCCCACTCCCCATGCTTTTAGGATTTTTTTTTTCTTTTTTAAATCACTGATGTGCAGAAATTCACAACGATGTGCTGTGGTGTGTGAGGGTTTTTGATTCATTCTGGTGAATCAACAGGTGGGCATTTTAATCTTGGGAATTTATGTCTTTTAGTTCTCAGAAGTTGTCTTATTGTTTCTTTGAAAACTTTTCTTCTCTCTTTCTGGAACTCCCATTGCTTAGCTGTTAGGCCTTTGCAATTGATTTTCTAATATTCTCTTCTATTTTCTATATTGTATCTTTTTGTTTTACCTTCTAGGCAATAATCTCAATTTTGTCTAAAATTAAAGAGTTTTGTCCTAATCCTTTGAATTTTTGAATTTCTGCTATCATATTTTAAATTTTCAATAACTTTCTGCTTTCTAAATGTTTCTGTCTTATAGCATTTAATTCCTTTTCTCTGAAACTGTCAATTATAGATTTTTAGTGAGTGGGTTTTTTTTTTTTTTTATTTAACTTTTATTCTGTTCCCTGCAATATCTCATAGGAAATAACAGTTTGCTTTGTTTTGTTTTATTCTGCAAAGGATTTCTGATCCTTGGCTGTTCATTCATATTAAAAATGACATCCTTAAAAGCTAGTGGGAAGTTCCTTGTGGAGGCAGGGATTATATAATAGAATGTGTGATAAAGCAGCGTGATGTTGTTACGTATGGTTTTTGTTTGTTGTTGGCAGACTTCCAAATGTCCGTATTTCCCGTGAGTAGGTCAGCTTCTCCAGAAAAGAATCTTCCACCTTCCGTTTGTTGTACGAACCCAGATGCATGACTGTGGTGGGCTTACCCCTCCTTGTTCTCAGAATGCAGATCTAATTTTTCAATGTGATCTAAGCCTGCATGGTCTGACCTCTCCCTTTTTATCCTTGCTTCAGATGTGTTTCTTTCCTTTTAATGTCCTCCTCGCCTCTAGTGCTGTCTTTGCCTGGCTTTCCACCCCTCCTTGTCCTTACTCTGTACCCCTCCAGTTCTGCTCCCTCTCTTCTCTTCTCTTTTCTCCCCCAACCCCATCCAGCTACACTGACCTTTCCGAAGTTTCTTAAGTGCTCCTTGCTCTGTCCTTTGCAAATCCTGATACCTCTGACTAAGGGGCACTCTTCCTTTGGGAAGAGCATCCACTCCTTCCCTAGAAAGCCTTCCTTGCTTTCCCAGGTGAATTCACGTTTCTGTTCTATACCATATCCCTTCTTTTTAATAGCATTCTCTAAATGAGCAATTACTATTTGAATGTCTGTTTTCCCCACTAGCCTGTAAGTTCCATGGGTCACTGAAAACTTAACAGTGATCATCTGGTCAGTTTTCCAGTTCTTAGCAGCTCACTTTCACATCATCACTTGATGGTAGGAAACCAGAATCTACTCCCTCTTTGCTTCATAAACACTTCCCTGTTTTATGCTCCCAGTAAAGCAGAACACCTGTCTGACCATCTCTCTCTCTACCGTATGACCTAAGGGTGGAGGAGGAAAAGGATAATCTTTCAACCTATTTCTAAAGATATCTGAAGACATTTGCTTTCTTCCCCATTTTATCTAATGGTAGGGCCCTAAATAAGGAAGTGATTATAAAATAGGAGTGTGTAAGGGGGGTGATTGCCTTGAGAAGTGGCAAGTGGTATTCATATACTTTCATGTTCAGTGAGATTAGTTTTAAAAAATCTATGGGCAATCTGGACATAAAATTTGATTTTAAAAAAACTACACACAAACCCTACTTTCTGATTTATTGTAGAAAACAATAAAATTAAACTAGTTTTGAGTCTGAAGTATAAACATATAGCCCTGTGGTATACAGCATGAGTTATTGAGGTAAAATATTACCTTCCCCCAGGTTTCAGAAGGATCCTACCTGGTCGGAGACTGGAGACCGTTATCTGTTGAAACTCTTTAGGGATCATCTTTTTCATCAGGTGACAGAAGCGGGCGCTCCTTGGATTGACCTCAGTCATATCATTTCTTGTCTTAACAAGGTAATTTGTATCTGGACTTTTAAGATCACAGTGCTGGTATCTACAATTTATAGAGCTGCATCTCCTACAAATACTCAGAGACTTAAGAAATTAAGATGTAGTCTGCTATAGTATACAAGACATTTTATTAATAATTATTAGGTGTATCTACTTAATAACAATTTGTAGAATGGGAGGGTTTTTTTTTTTAGATGTTAGGGGTAGGAGTTTATTATTTTATTTATTTATTTTGGCTGTGTTGGGTCTTCGTTTCTGTGTGAGGGCTTTCTCCAGTTGCGGCGAGCGGGGGCCACTCTTCATCGCGGTGCGCGGGCCTCTCACTATCGCGGCCTCTTGTTGCGGAGCACGGGCTCCAGATGCGCAGGCTCAGTAGTTGTGGCTCACGGGCCTAGTTGCTCCGTGGCATGTGGGATCCTCCCAGACCAGGGCTCGAACCCGTGTCCCCTGCATTAGCAGGCAGATCCTCAACCACTGCGCCACCAGGGAAGCCCCAGGGAGGATTTTTTTTAACGCCTACATGAATAATTTCAGAATTCTTCGTTGTGGATCTTTATGCTGTGATAAAATGTCACAAAAGGACTGCCTCCCACACCCCCGCCCCACTCTCTTTTATTTACCAAGTGTAGTTTGTTACAACAAAACAAAGCCGTATTTTGTGTTTGAATATTTTTTAAAAGTTGAATTCCTTTCTTCTCAGTCATTGTGAGTCCTGCATGTCCTTAGTTCATGTGCTCTCAGCTGTGGGTGTTAATCAAGTGTTAATACTAGTGAAAACGCAGTACTGGGCATATCACTAGACCCAGCTGTGATAAATGGGGAATTAGAAGTAATTAGATGAAGTAAGCACGTAGAGATGTATCATAATTTTGAGAGGTGAGCTTTGTGTTTTTGAAAGGGCCAGGAGAGGTGCGATTTATGGAGGGAGGGAGGAGTGCCTTTTCCTCATGAATTACTTGGAATTACAGAGAGAATGGGTCTCCAGAAGTATATCCTAGCCTTTGTGTATAGGTTTATATCTAAATCAGGGGTTGGCAAACTGGCCTGCGAGCCAAATCCTTTTGCCTGTTTTTGTACAGCCTACAAGCTAAGAATAGTTTTTACATTTTTAAAGGATTGTAAAAACAAAAACAACTAAGAAGAATATGAGACAGAGGCTTGTGTTGATATATGGCCCTGAAATTTAGAACACTTACTCTCTGGCCCTTTATAGAAAACATTTGCTGACCCCTGGTCTAAACTGTCCCTAAATTACAAGGACTAGAGGAGAAAATACCTACGATGGCACATGATTTAGAGCTGTTGGTGTACAGTGTGCTTAACCCTTCAGGTAAAACACGGTGGTGTTTTATTTTTAAGCACTACTTTGCCGTGTTTGAATCTCCTTAAAACTCTTTAGAGAGTATTGTCAATAACCTACATTAAGACAGAACAAGACTGTATGTTATCATTGAGCTAACCTGGTACAATTTGTATATTCATTTGCCCTTTTCCCTTAAGGGGAAAACATTTTTCATAAGAGCAACGAGTGGAGAATAATTCTACCAGATTTTAGAAAACAGTATCCATAGTATCAAAGCACCCGTAATTAAAAATATGCAGAACTAGAATAATCACTGACAGGTGGATCCTGTGGAAATAAGCCATGGACAGACATCTTAAATGAAGATTATTTAATGAATATTAGGATAACTGACAATTTTAAGACAGTTCTGTTTCATTTCATAAAATAGGAGTAAATAAAATTTATCCCAAATCTGAATATGTGACAATTTTTTAAGTTTGGAAAGCATGTAATAAATTAAAAGGGACGGATGGCCATGTTTATGATATAAAAATTAAATTTTGGGGCTTCCCTGGTGGCGTGCAATGGTTTGGAGTCCGCCTGCCGATGCAGGGGACGCGGCTTCGTGCCCCGGTCCGGGAAGATCCCACGTGCCGCGGAGCGGCTGGGCCCGTGAGCCATGGCCGCTGGGCCTGCACGTCCGGAGCCTGTGCTCTGCAACGGGAGAGGCCGCAGCGGTGAGAGGCCCGCATACCGCAAAAAGAAAAAGAAATTAAATTTTTACATAAGATTATTTTGGTGGAAATGATGACAGAAATTAGATGGTAAAATGGTTTGAAAGGTTGTGCCTTCAGAATTAGTTTTAAACGTATTTTAGTGAATTATTGAAAAAAGAAGGAAATATGTACATTGAAAACTAACAAAAGTAAAGTGAAAATCCTAACGAAAAGTTATTAGATGGACTCAGGATTCATACTTACGTTTTATAAAGACCTCATTAAAATATTATTGCCAAATCCTGATAGATAAGGATTTGATAAAGATTATATACCGGCATTCACACAGGTGGAAATAACAAAAGTAAATGTATGAAAACATTGAGTAACATTAATAAAAAATGTAAATTAAAATAGCAAGGCACTCACTTGATATGGAGTTACTGGTAAACTGGTACAACTCATAAATCCGTGGTGTTCTGTGTCCTTTGGGAAGCAATTTGGCTGTATGTATTAAGCTCTAAAATTACCCGTACTTGTTGATTCAGTATTTATACTTTTAAGTGTTTCTCCTAGAGAAGTAATTCTAGAGAAGAAAAAAATTAGCCAGATATGTTCATTGCACTGCAGTTCACGATACCAAGGAATTGGAAGATATTGGGGGAATAATTGAATTATGGAGTATCAACTGGATGGAATATAATATACACAAATGTTAAACGTGACAGATAGATGAATTGGGAGATGAGGATTGACATATTCACACTACCATGCGTAAAATAGATAGCTAGTGAGAGCCTGCTGTATAGCACAGGGAGCTCAGCTCGGCGCTCTGAGACGACCTAGAGGGGTGGGATTGGGGGTGGGAGGGTGGGAGGGAGGGGATATGGGGATATATGTATACATAAAGCTGATTTACTTTGTTGTACAGCAGAAACTAACACAACATTGTAAAGCAACTATACTCCAATAAAAATAATAATAAAGTTTTAAAATAAGATAGGCAGCAACATAGGGCATTGTTTCTTTAATTTTTTAAAAAATGACTTTCGCATGTGTTTTATTTATTTTTTGGCCACGCTGCGCTGCCTGTGGGATCTTAATACCCCACCCAGCGTGGGGTCGAACCCACGCCCCCTGCAGTGGGAGTGCAGAGTCTTAACCACTGGACCACCAGGGAAGTCCCTAGGGCAATGTTCTGTGTCGAGCGGGGGCTTCTCTTGTTGCGGAGCACGGGCTCCAGGCGCACGGGCTTTGGTAGTTGTGGCTCGCGGGCTCTAGGCGTGCAGGCTCAGTAGTTGTGGTGCACAGACTTAGTTGCTCCGTGGCACGTGGGATCTTCCCGGACCAGGGCTCGAACCCGTGTCCCCTGCACTGGCAGGCGGATTCTCATCCACTGTGCCACCAGGGAAGCCCCTAGGACCATGTTTTTTAAAAACGCATCTGAGTTGAAAAGTGTGTGCATAGTGATTAGTGATGTAAAATATTTATGAATATCTAGAGGGGAATGTGACAACATTTAAAAAAATATTTCGTATATCACTGTTGCAAATGTTGTCCTTAAATAGGCTTGAACTTCATATGTTGTGTTTCTGTCTGTTTCAGTTAGATGCTGGTGTGCCAGAAAAAATAAGCCTCATTTCCAGAGATGAGAAGAGTGTACTTGTGGTGACTTACAGTGACTTAAAGCGATGCTTTGAAAATACTTTTCAAGAACTGATTGCAGCTGCAAATGGTCAGTTGTAGTATTTGCTTAAAAAAAAAAAACAGGCGGGATATGGCCGAGGAGCTTATTAACCAATAGCAAATTGCACTACAGCTGAACTGTTCTCATCATCTCATTTCACGTTTGGGAAACAAGCAGAAGATGAGCAGAGCTGCTTGCACTTGGGTCAGGTGCGCTGTTACTTGAAAGGAAGAATGTTTCACTTATCCTTGAGCTGTGGCTGCCGGTGGGCCACACCTGTGAAGAGTTTATTTTAGATTAAGGAGCACCGTTAGGGGAATGATGTTCCAGCTTTTGTTTTTTCCACTTGTATATGCACTAATTTTAATTTTTTAAAGACTTTTTTCTGATCTTTGAACTTTTGCCACATTGTATACTTATTAAGGGAAACGATTTGCAAGGAGGTTTTTGGGAAACAATGCTGGGCAGCATTTTTGTCACTGAGGGGTGCAGAATTTGCTCTTTTGGGGATGGGTTGCCCTGAATAACATAAGGGACCAGGTAAATGATTTCATGGAAGTACCGTATAGTGCATAATTCTTGTAAGAGTATTGTATGCAAGCTCTGTATGCCACCCACTGTTAGTTCAGCTTGAGATTTTTTTTGTGTGTTTTTTTGTTTTGTTTTTAAGAACACACAAAAATTTCAGTGACTTGTTGGGTGTGAATTCCCCTATTAGTTGATTTAAATCCTTTCTGAATGAGGGTTAGATAAACAGGAACTGAAGGAGCACACAGAGCTCTTTGCTCCAAATTCAACCAGAGCCTTTTTTTTAAAAAGGCATTTCTCTGCTAATCAGATACATTTACATTTATGCCATTTTTTAACAGAAAAAAATTAAGAAATTGTGTTAAAGGCCTGAAGTTCAGGAGTATATTGCTTTAGGTTTTTTCCAGTTTGCTTTTTTGTATAAAGTTCTGTTCTTTGAACCACAGCTTTATTATGGTACTTTACACTGGATACAGATACAGAGACACTGTTCAGAAGATGAACTAAACACAGCGGTGGTCTGGCATCAGGAGCTTTCTGAAGTTTTACAGCCTGAATCTGGAGGGAAAACAATCTGCTGTGCCTTTGCAGTCACTGCTTAGCCCAAAGTAATAGTGCTTTTGATAATAACTATGTGGGATATTCCTGAATAAGTCAGTCTCAAAAGTCTGGAATTTTCCTCCTCTTAACTTTCTTAACATTTGGACGTGCAGTTGTCGCCAAACTTGGGTATTCATGGAATTTCTAGTTAATGAAATACCTATACTTTGATACTGAAGACTGCCAAATACATAGGAATTTTCTTTCATAAAAAACAGTAATGAAGGCTCTATCTCCTTTCCCAGCACTGAATGTTTTGCTAGCACTGGGTGCTCATCATGCAACTATGAAGAAAATGTGGAAACTCAAAAGGTCAGGAAAGACTTCCAAGCACTTGCAACTGATGTTACAGTCTTCAATTTTAATAACTATACATATTTGTAGTTTTCAGAGAAGTTTTTAATATTTCTCTGTCCACTTTTTATAAGCTTTAAAATGATTTTCTCTGCCTTGAGATTTGCATCAAGAAAAAGCACCTCTTCACCCAAAATCTCTGAAGACTAGAGACACGCTTTACATGTTTTAACAAGTGTGTTTGAGTCCACGTTTGGTAGCATCAGTTGTTGAGTTAAAAAGAAAATCAGTTACTGCATTTGATCAGGATGGATTTTAAAAGAACATAATGCTCAATATTCAAAGGATAATTAACATTTGCCACCATAATGTTCTTTTTTTATGTAAAAGGAACAGGAACTTGGAGACATTAACATGCAAAAGTCTTTTATCATTATTAGCTCATGTATTTGACAAAGAGCAGCTGTCTTTTTATATGTTTTTTGACAAATCATATTGTAATTCTTTTGTACAAAAAAGAACTACTTGTATTCTAGAAGAAATATGAAATGCTTAATTTATAAGCGGGCTGGAGATTTTTTCCAATATTGTTTTCTTTGAAAATGAAAGGGGATCATCTATTTTAGTTTCGGGGTCTGGGAACTTTTTGAAAATTTAATTTGTGGACCAATGTTTTGCAAAAGCTAAGGAAGGGCAGGGGTAAAATAGGGCTTGATTTTCTCATTCTTTGTAGACCAGCAAACTTCCCTCTGCGAGGCCCGTTCAAATCACAAACCCAAGAGTGTTTGCATCATAAATGCTAGCTTGCTTCAGCCCCTAGTAACCTCAGGACTTGGTTTGAATAAAAAGGTAGACAGCTGATATGTTTTCATGAGTAAATATTGTCAGCCAGAAAACAGTTGGTGTCAGGTAATACGTTATTTTTTTTAAGCTTTGTTTTATATTTATTTTTCATTTAGTTTTTATTGGGAATGGTTTTCAATAGAACTCTTAGTTCTGCTTAGGTGTTTTTTGGGGGAGCCCTCTTTTCCATAGGGTAATTCCATTTAACAGGTTGTCTAAAAGTTAGTCTTTTTAATTCATAGGAAGATTTTAATATCTGAAAGTACTCAAATTAAGGATATAAACTTCCACACCTTCCTGTTATGACAGATACAAGCACAGAAAGGACAACCCTTGAAATCATGTAACATTGGTCATTTCAATTTTTTGTTACCTATTTTAAAATCTGTTAATGTATTTACTTCATTGTAAATATTTTTGAGGGTACCTTTGTATTTTGCTTTTGACCTTGGTTCTGTAATTTGGATGTCAACAACTTCCCTGAAAAGCACCAGTATGTTAAGTTCTAATGTCATGATCCCAATATGGGTTATTCATCTTTAATCCTGTTTTCAGTCTCTATGTGTACAGCAGTATTTTTAATAAAGAATTACAGAGAGAAGATGGTCCTTTTTTTTTTTTTTTTTGCTACCAGTTCATTTAACAAGATGATGTTTGTTTTATGATTGGGACTTAAAAGGCCAAACGTTTCATATGTGTTTTGGAGGAATTTTTGGTCTTTGGATAAAATGGTGGCAGATTTATTTGTTAATTTACCAAACATCTGTTAGATGCCTAACTTGGATCTGTTCTAGGCACTAAAAATGCAGATAAGTATTTTAAGTACTTGTTCTTTACACCCAAACATTTCTAAATAGTACATGGCATACAGTGTAGTTTAGGAGAGAGGACCTACTTATATGAAAGGAATGACATCCAGCTAGTCTTTGACTCAGACTCGGTTAATTTACTATATAGGTGAAGGTTCCTCTCCCCCCACCCCCGCGGAAACGTCATTCCGAATAGAAGGGTAGAGAAGGAAAATATGGCAAAATGGTAATATTTGTTGAAACCAAGGTACTCATTCATTAAATATAGGCCTACCTCAGACATTGTGGGTTCAGTTCCAGACCACTGCAATAAAGTGAAGAGTCACGTGAAGTTTTTGGTTTCCCGGTGCATATACAAAAGTTATGTTTACACTGTACTGCAGTCTGTTAGGTGTGCAATAGCATTATGTCTAAAACAAATGTATATACCTTAGTTTAAAAATATTGCCATCATGTGAGCCTTCAGCAAGTTGTAATCTTCTTGCAATAGTAACGTCAGAGGTTCCTGATCACTATAACAAATATAGTAATAATGAAAAAGTTTGAAATACTAAGAGAATTACCAAAACGTGACACAGAGCCCTGAAGTGAGTGAGCAGTTGCTGTTGGAAAAACGGTGCCTTTAGACCTTCCTCGATGAAGGGATGCCGCAGACCTTCAGTCTGTAGAAAAAGCAGCATCTGTGAGGTCTGCCTGTATTTATTGAATATGCCTGTTATATGTCAGGCATTGTTCTAGGAACCAGCAGCACTCTGAGCACAACAGACAAATATTTCTGTGCTTAGAGAGCTTTCATCCTATCAGGGAAAAGGAGTATATAGTAGTTAGGAGGTAATAATGGTTATGGAAAGAAAATAAAGTAGGGTAAAGGGCGTGGATAGGGTTGCCAGATTTAGCAAATTAAAGTAGACAACACAAAATTGAATTTGAATTTCAGATAAACAGTGGATAATTTTTTTTTTTTAGCATGAGTGAGTCTCAAGTATTGCATGGGACATAGGATCATTTGTTTATCTGAAATTCAGATTTAATTAGCCATCCTGTGTTTCCTCTTGCAATTCTAGGTGTGGGGAGTTTGGTGGTGATGGTAGAATTTCAAATGGGACGATCTGGGTGGGTAGTAGGTCTCCCTGAGAAGGTTGTGTTTCAGCAAAGACTGGAAGAGAAGGAGCCAGGCATGCAGATGTCTGAGGGAGACGAATTCCAGGCCGGGGAACGTGCCGGGAGCGTCTGAGGCACGGCAAGCAGGCTCCCACGGCCAGAGCAGAATCGGCAGGAAGTGAGGTCAGAAAGGGTAATGGGGAAGGGAGGTGGAGTGTCTTGTAGGCCATTCCAGGACCACTTTGGCGTTTACTCCTGCAGGGGAAGCTTCGAGGAGGGTTGTGAGTAGGGATAGCATGGCACAGCATTTGAAAGGATCACTCGGGCTGCTAGTTAGGGGGTTTGGGGCGGGGCGACGGGGCGATAGCCGTAGAGGCAGTGGGAAGCAACTGAATTCTGAATACATTTTAAAGGTAGAGCCAAGAGCATGTCCTGATTTATGATTTATAGGACGTGGAGTAAGAAAGAAGAGAGGAATAAAAATGACTGTGAAGATTTTGGCCCACTACTGACAGGATGGAGGATTCTACTGAATTGAAAGAGATGGTTGGGGCTTCCCCGGTGGCGCAGTGGTTGAGAGTCCGCCTGCCGATGCAGGGGACGCGGGGTCGTGCCCCAGTCCGGGAAGATCCCACGTGCCGCGGAGCGGCTGGGCCCGTGAGCCATGGCGGCTGAGCCTGCGCGTCCGGAGCCTGTGCTCCACAACGGGAGAGGCCACAACAGTGAGAGGCCCGCATACCACAAAAAGCAAACGAAAGAGATGGTTGTAGGAAGAAAGGGGTTTTGGAGGGAGGAAGGGAGGGGGTTGGCAAGGGGAAGACGGGGAAGTGAGGAAAGGCAGTTGGGAATTTGGTCTGGGGCCTGTTAAGTTTAAGATGTTTAGT